CGTTTCAAATGAAAATCCAAGCACAGGTCAGCATCAATACCAATTCCAAAATAATTGTTCATTACAAACATGTTGGGTTCATCTTCACGGTTACAACCCATGCCRATAGCACTGTCATTAGACTTGGTATCGGACAACGGTGTGTCTGCGTTATCAAATATTATAAACCATCTGTAGGGGAATAGACAAAGATGTTGTAATTGATCAGTATGATTTATAACTAGGTCAACCAATCTATATGACAGACTAATAATAGACATTGATCTTGCATTGATTTTCTAGAGGAATTGTTCTACCTCTAAATTAAATTTGTTTTCAACACTATTTGTCATTTCAAAGTTCTTTTTGTGTCACAGCGCGAGCCCAAAAATTCTTGGAATTCACACCTCGTGGTTTTCCTAATTATAGTGAAAAAATAATTGCAAAAGACGCCATCTGATTGGTTAATTGATGATGTTTATTGTTATGGTGATAAAACAAACAAAAAGTCTTTGGGGGGAGGGGAAATTTTTTTCTGGCTCGTCCTTTTTTCAAGCTGTTTCGGGTGTCGTCAGGGGCATCGTAGAACAATTTCCTCTCAGGACTCAGTTGCAATTAAGGGTCTATAGGATTTTGGGATTGGGATTAACAGTGGTTCCACAAAGTCACTCTTGTTCCACTGAACTCCAATTTGAATTTAAAAGTTGACCTTTGTGGAGGGAGGGAAACCAGAGAACCTGGAGAGAAAGACATGAAGCACAGGAGAGAAACAACAAGCAACTGTACTCAAACATGGCACCCAGTTTGAGAACCAAACCCAGGTTGCATTGGTGGATGGTGAGCCCTCTCACCTCTATGCCAGCCATGCTTCCATTAATTTATATCTTCCCATTTCAAACGACATTTCAATTTCTTGATAATTATTTATTTATTTATTTTATGCTTGGCCTGTCTCTCTTAACATCTCTAGATTAGAATTGGGATTCCTATGGTCTTGATTTGGTCCTTGGTAGAAGAAAAGAAGGTTTGGGGGTGGGGGGAGGGAGTAGGATGCAGCTCAATCCATATGGCTGGCTGACCATGTCCTAATCACTCTGCTCTCAATAATGATAATACCAACAAAACTTGAATACTTATAATAACAGGCATGTGTGACTTACCTGTCCAGGAGACCTGYATTAGCATGGTCTACTGCTATAAGCAATGATAATGGTGACTCCCCAGAGGAATACCCTCCTCCCCAGTTCAGTACTCTTGACAAATCATTACCTGAAAATCATTTAAAAAGAGGCAAGCTGAGAAAAGTGTTTCACAGAGTGGTTGTTTCTAAGAGAATTAAGGGTGGTTTAATGGTACTGCACTCACCTCTAGCTCTGGGGTCTTAGGTTTGATTCCCAGACTTGTCATCACAAGTGAGTAGAATTTGTTAGGTCTCTCCCTTGATTTGAGGGTTTTTCTCTGTTTTTTCTTCCATTTTTCCCCCACCTCAAAATTCATGTGAGGAGCTCGAGCTACACATAACAAAGAATACTAACCTGTACCAAGAGGCACAATAGCTGAGGGAGGTTTCTTACACTTTAACAGAGAACTAATATCATCTAGACATGATAACACCCATCCCACTGTACCATCACCACCACAGATCAGAATACGAAACATCTTGATGTCCTTGAATGCATATAAACTGACAAAGACAAGTAGTAGAAAATATTTGGTCAATACTATCAAGATTACATATTATTCAGATTAAACAGATGCCATAAATTTATTGATATTTAGTTTGGCAGTGAATGAAAATGAACAGAAACATGGAGGAATGAAAAAATCAATAATTTGATTAGGAGTTGCGTCCATCTGTCTGTCCATCCATCAGTGGGAATAAATGAACAAATGAAGAATAGAATGGAAAAGGTAGGGAGTGAATGAATAAATGAGTTAAAAAGTGGACAAGGGAGAATAAATTAGTGATTGAATAAAAAGTAAAATAGATGTATTGGCTTGCTTAAAATAACACAGTACTCATAAATTATATCTTAATAATTCAATCTATAAAGTACAATATAATTGCTTTTGTTGTTACTAGATACTGTCAAGTTAAAAAGCAAGGGATTAGGCAGGGGGTACGGAAGGGGTCACGCCCCCTTCCCCCTTGTCATGGCAACAAAATGGCCAGGGGGAGGAACTCCCCTATATTCGCTATATGGGTACATGTGCCGCCAAACAGGGTATGGTTTTCAGCGATTTTACTCTGGAACAGGGTATATAAAATCGCGCTCGCTCTGGGTCAGGGTATATGAAATCACGCTCTCTCCTCTCTGGAACAGGGTATCTATTTTCACGATACAGGAACTGGGTATGGTTTTCAGCGATGTCGCTCTGGAACAGGGTTATGAATTTCAGCGATTTTACTCTGGAACAGGGTCAGGGTTCAGAGGTCTCAGCAGCACATACCTAGCCGAAACGGGCAAGAGTATCCCCCCCCCCCGCACAAAATGGTGGCTTTTTGGAATATTATACTGTACAGTAATTTTCATTTGCATTGCAAAGTTTTGCAAAATTAAAACATAAAACACAAAATACTGGCTATGATCCTGAGGAAGATTATGTTGACATCTTACCCAGGTAAAGGACCTCCATCTAGAAGGTTGTAGACTTGGTTAGGGTTGAGTAGCCTCTGGAATGCTGACATTATATCATCTCCTTGACCACCACCACTCTTTGGATTAACAAACACCAGAAGAGGATGACACTCAATTGGAAGTGYTTCTGGCTGCAAGAAATAACATAAAAGTACTGTGAATAATCAAACTACAATAATTTTAAGAAATGTGTCTTTCCAGAAACTATGCATATACCTCCCTCATGGAGATCCCCCCCCCTACCCCTGGTAATTCCAATTTTCTTCCATACAAACTCTGTAGTATTTGTTCTTTCTCTGACTCTCCCACCCTATTCCAAATATTAAATTCCTCTGTGGGGTGGGTACGGATAAGTTCTGGAACTACATACAATCTAAAACAATCTGTATTATTAGTTAAAGTGGGCGAAATTATAGGAAAGTAGAAGGAAAGAAGGAGAATAAAATAATGGAATGTTGAAAAGTAAATTGATAATTACATGTTATTAATTAAGATCACAAAAGATGGGATGATGGAAAATGGGAAATAGGAAATGAAATAAATGTGGAGCGTCATGTAAACTTACATGTATTGTAGGAAGTAACTTAACAAAYACATCTTTGCCATCCACAACAGATCCTTTGAGTTTATCTATGGCCTCTGCCGCTAGATCTGCTGAAGGTAGCTTAACAAACACCATACCTAAAATAAGAAAGAGAACAACAATGGAAGCATTGAATAAAAATGACTTCATTACAACTTATCATTACTTGCAATAAATACTTTCAGGCAAGGCAAGGATTGAGGTGCACCCTAAAGAAAGTGGGTCTTAGAGTGGAAAATATTGTGTGAATAAGATTAAAAGTGGAGGGCTTACATGTAGGCTGCAACAATCAGCCAGTTTCATAGTTTAAGAATCAATTCCACTGCGCATGTRATTTTATCTCGAATTTCTCAACTCCATTTAGACRAAAGAAGGTGAGAAATTCGGGACAAAATCGCTGATGCACACTGGAAACGATTCTTAAACTATGAACTGGCTCATACAACGGAAGAGAGACTAAATTGATCATGTGAGTAGCACCACACATAGTAAGATGTCTTAACATTTTAGAATATTGTTTTAAATATTGTTTTTGTACATTACTGAGACTGTTAGCACAAATGAATTATTCCATTTTAATATTTACCATAACTAGGATGAACAGATTCTACTTCACAATACTCTGAAACTAGGAAAATAAAAATGAAACAAATCAATTTTATTAAATACATACAGCTAGTACTTATAGTAGCATACTTTCATTTTAAAATTATATAATTTTCAATRAGTTTTAAATCAAGCATTTTCTAGTCCTTTTTATTGGGATTCTTGAGCCAAAAGGTCAAAACAAGTTGTCTTACAGCTGAACCAAATTTAGAGGGGGGGGGGGGGCTAACTGGTATGTGAGGGGAATTCTAATTAATAATTATTTGATTAAGTAATCTCCCCTAATCATTAAAATCCATGACTACTGTTTGATGTTTGGATATGCGTTGGCATTAATTGTAGCTTGAACATAACTTACTGTCTTTCAAGGTGTCATCTAAAACAGCTTCATATCTTGCTTTATCAACTAAATATGTAGGTAAGTTACCAACACACAAACAACTACTAACACGTGGCTCCAGCTTGCGACGGAGGTAGAACCGTGCAAATTTCATCTGCCTTATAGATTTCTGTTAAATTGAAAAAAAGAAAAGAAAGTCATTGAATAAAAGGTGCCAGAGCTCCAACCATGATGGCTGGGACAGGAACTGATCATGCGAAAGCTTGGACAGGGCGACAAACTAAGAGAGTTCAACTGCAAAAGGGATGGAGTTGCTGGGAAATGAAATCATAAAAGGAATGGAATAGGTAGCAGGGACAATGGGATAGTATACGTACAGACAGTATAACAACAGTGATATATATGCAACGCAACATGAACTGACAGGGGCACTTTGTTGTGAACAAAAAATATCATTTCCAAGAGCTAGAATGATGCTAATAAAATATAATATTGTTGTAATAGCAATATACATATGAGAATGGTGCTGATATGACAATGTGGTGCCATATATTATGCTCACCTTTCGAATATCCATGAGACATTTCCAAGGGCTCTCATGACTTTGCATAAACCTCTCTTCCACTAAAATAATAATAATAATAATAATAATAATATTTGGTAATCGATAAAATTGAGACCACTCAATGTGTCAGTCAACTTTGTGCCATCACCATGCTTGCTCCCATTGAGCAGTGATGTAAAATCTATAGACTTAGACTATCTTACCTCCTTGATGTAGGTGCATTTCAGTCAAAACATAATCATCAACTTTTGCATCCTGAAACAAAGGATTAGCCATGGTTAATTAACAAGATGCAAAACAAGAAACTAAGTTACGATTGTCAATGCATCACAATAGGGTTTCAATGCATCACAATACCTCAATGTTGACAGATTTTTTTAATCAAAGAGAGAATTTTTAATGGTGCAATCAGAAGGCAATATAGACAGTAATAACATACATGGGTGATGCTCGTTTAACACAGAAATCTTGCATTTTTTAATGCAAAATTGAAACGCATATTCAATGGCACAATGCACCTGTGCTTACAAGGAAAGAAATGCAAGCAACTCCAATTATATGACCATAATTGCAGGCCCAAGAATCCAGATTGAATCAGACCAATCCTGAACATGAACACAACTCATCTATAGGTGGGTGTGTACTTACCCTGATGCCAAACTTCTGTAATGCTAACTGCAGCACCTCTAATACTGTGGTACTTGCTGAAACCGGTAGGGTTCTGAATGTTGATTGCACACTATTCATGACAACACAAAATGTTAATAAATAATTCATAAATGGCTTCAATTAATCCTTATCACATGGTTCCATGTTGTTCCCATGAGAATAAAAACCTTCGTATAAAAACCCTTTTGAATAAAAACCCACGTAACCTCATCCTGGAGCACTTGACTGTGAGGCCACATGGAAAAAATCTATATTGTTCCAGTTAACATGGCTACCACATGTTAAACATCCATGTACTTAAAAGTTAGACAACAGCAATATAACTACAATAATAATGATATATGATGATAACTATAATAATAATAAATAGGGTATATAATCATTATCAACACCAACATCATCATCCTTATTAGTAGCACCAGCATTAGCAGCTGCAACAAAGCCAAGCCATAATATTATGGCAGAGGTCTGACCATTTCGATTTGCAGATGTTTTAAGAGCAATGGCAGCAGTGACATAGATTTTTTAAGACTGTGAGAGTTGGTCTGGCCAAGACCAATGCTCACAACTAACAGACCCAACTGATTGTAAGATAAAAACCATAATTTGTCTTGTTGTCAAGTTATAGCTGTTTATATTATACTAACTTACTCTATCTGCAAGCCAGAGTATATTCTGATGTAGCCTTTTCTTCTGTCTGCACTCTAGGACAAATGATTTGTTACAGTATAAGACCAAAGATTAAGAACTTTTTTTATGATTATTATATGTAATATATGAGAAAAAATGGGGGTTGAATCAAGGAAATAAAACCAGCAATAGCTGAAGAATAATTACAGTCATTGTGTAGTTCCAGAAAATAATCATCCATATCCACCCCAAAGAGGAATTTGGAATTTCTGAAGAGTAGAGGGGTCAGAGAAAGAACAAAAATTACAGAGTTTGTRTGGAAGAAAATTGGAATTTCCAGGGGGTAGGGGGGTGTCTTAAGAAAATTCCTCCATGAGGGGGGTATGGATAATTTTTGTAACTACACATTCAGATAATATTTATCGTTGAAGGAAAAGCTGATTGCAGTGTATAGTTACCTTCATCCTTAGGAATATCAAAGGACTTTTTTCAATCTCAGTGAACTGGACAGGCATTTCTTCTAGATCTAATGGTCGTTCATTATCTGTCAATTATTCAAAAAATTAATTCAGCAAGCAAAGCAGTTAAGGTTGAAAACTTATTCATCAAAATGTGGTAGGTATTTAAAATCTTGAAGGTCCTTGTAAAGTCTGTAGCTGTCTTCCTTTTATTATATTTATTAGGGAAGGTATGTTTTATAGAGGGGGGGCTGCAGGATTTGCAGTAAACTTTTAAACTCACTCCAAGGCTTAAAATAACGGCTGTACAGTCACCAGTCATGATGACAAGTCAAATTAGTTTTAGCTTAGTCACACCTCATTTCTGGCTCAACATTACTATTCAAAATGACTGGCTAGGCAACGATTTGACTGGACAAGTTCCAGTTCTGGACGGACATTGTCTGATGTCCAGCCATTATTTTAAGCCCTGCACACAGTTAGAAATTCATGGCCCTCCAATTAAGTCAACGAGGAAACAGCTTTGGTCAACCTGTTTCATCATAGGATAATAATTAGGATTATATTAAGATTATCATAGGAGGCTAAGCCAAAATTGAACTTACTTTGATCTACTACTTTAGCTAGATAATAATTATTGGGATCATCATTTATACAAAATTTCTTCAGTGCTTCATTCTGATAAAAAATAAATAATTAGAGCAAGTGAATCTCAATAAAAGTTATTTGAAATTCTGGAAGTGAAAGGGAGAGGGAATGAAAAGAAAGTGTAAAAAGGGATATTGAAATTAAGGTTTTCGCATTGTCACATGATAGAAGCCATGTAAGATGGCAGGAACAATACAATTGTTTTACATATAAGAATGAATTCAATTCCCGAAAATGGGATTTTATTTATCCACCATTTAATCACAGGCAGTCCAAGCTGTATTATGGGYGCCGACATGTGATTGTGCAAAACCTCTTTTAAATCAAAGAAGAAGATTTAGTGGGAAGGGAATTCAAGGGGAAATAGTAAAAGTGAAAGTAAAATGGAATGTGAAAAAGAGAAGAAAGAGCTCATGAATAAAATAAATAGGAGAGAGACTAGAAAAAAAAAGTGTGAGAGTGAATGAGATAAGATGAAAAAGGGTAGGGAAAGTGAATGGAAAAAAGATTAAGAGAGCAAGTAGAGCAAATGGAAAGGAGCTAATAAAGGAATGTGGAGAATACGAAGGAAAAAAGATGGAAAATGAGAATGCATGAAAAAGTAATCAAAGGAGACAATGAGATTGAGACAATGAGACTTAACAAATTTACTTACTAACAAAACACAATCAAGAAAAGAAGTTGGAGTAAATGAAGCATGAAAGAGAGAGAGTGGCAACTCTGTTTAGATTGAAATCATACTCACCAAAAGGTGATCAACTTGAACATTTCTTGGCACAGGTATAGTTTTACGAGTTTTTGGTGAATGAATATTTCCATCATAAACATCTAAATGAGCTACTTCTAGTTATGTGGAAAGAGAGAATAAATCCCAAATCAGTGGCGTTCTTGCTTACAATTTAATTAAGGATTGAATTATCAGTTGATACACTGAGAGAAAACTTATTTAAGAATAAGTCACAGCCTTTTCTCAGGGATGGCTTGGGGGTTTTCTTCATAACATCATTTCTAAGGAATGACTTATACCGATCAGTGCAATTCTCAAGATAGAATCTGTCTGTCTGTCTGTTCATAAAAGACAGACAGACAGACACGAAAAAGTGTGTGTGTGGGGGGGGGGGGGGGTGAGGGATCTACCTACCCCACCCTGTTTCAGTGTCCCATTCATTAATACAGCATGCAGGGAGTGAATAAAGCATCATATGATAGAAGTTAGTGTCAAGAGAAGCATAAGCCGTAATTGAAAATAGCTTTACCTTTGGCTTCTAAGGAATGACTTGAGGTGGCTGAAAATGTTGATTGAGCAGCTGGGTGGTCTGGTACAATACCATCATCTTCATCAACATAGCTACCTAAAAAAAATTATATAATATAATAAACAAATAGATAAATAGTTTAGTATTTATTTATGTAGGTCTGGTATTTTGCTCTGATTATTTTACTAGGGTTAGTTTYATTTTGCAATTGTGTGACTATGTTTGCTGCCCTCCTCCTATCCCTTTCCCTTGCTACAGAGCTGTGGGACTTTGCTATTGGCATCGGCACTTTTAAAATTGAGGTGTCTCCTGTTTAGAGGCTTATTATACAGTTAATATCAGAAAAAGATTTCAGTCCCACAGTGTCTCTTAAATAAAGAGTTTCCACATAGACGTATCACTATATATCACTATATGCATGCTTTATTCTAACTATCATTAGAGAACAATCCAAAGACATATCAATGATTATAATACACAGAACTTTCCTAATTATTTAAAAAAACTTACCCTGTAATGATTGCAAGTTCCCTGTATTAGACTTTCTCCAGGGACCCCACAGGTCAATATTGGGTAACGATACACAGAATGGAGGGAGAGACAGCCTATACAGATATCCAAATTTACATTCTTTTGGAAGCATTTCAAAGCATCCACTGTGTGCCTGTCAAAATTAATAAACCAATGTCATATCTTATATATAATTAATTAAAAGAAAATGCCTGCCATTTAATCACACAACAAGCTTCTTAGTTGGAAGTTTAAAGACCGGTTTTCTCTTACAATGCAAGGCAATGAAATCTTTCATTTCCCTTGCACTTGGGTCACTTCTTTTTATAGTGCGAACATAAAGTTGCAACTGCTTGCATCGCTAGTGAGAACTAGGCTTTGAGGTGCAATCATAGGGATAGTAAAATCTGATTGGGTGAAGTTATGACAAACTTGGATAATCAACATCAGACTGTAATGGCATAAGAATACTGGCAGGAATGAAGTCTTCAAAATATCACTAGTTGTAATAATTATTGCACATTAAATAATATGTGCACATGGTAGTAAAATTGTTTGTTTCCATAAAGTGATGAGCTCATAATGCATGATGCCATTGTCATGGCAACAATTCAAGAACAAATATTGAGAAAGATTTGCATTTGATTTGCATCATGGATTATGGTGAGAACTTGTGTTGCTATGGTCACGGATAATTATATCATTCATGAGTCATGGGTAGCATACTGTCTGGTGTCATTGTCATTGGTAATGATTCATAAATAAATTGAGAAAGATTAGCATCAGCTAAAACTGGGGATGCTATGGTAACAAATAATAACATGAGTGGTAGATAGCATACCATCTGGGCACACCAGCTACACCTATAACTAGCCAAGCACTCCATGGTCCCACATGATCTTTTGCAATACACACACTTTGCACCTAAACCAATGTTTCCTTCTCTCCAGTGATGACCATGTGTTTGGGTTAATATCTGTGTGGACTAACACAATTAATAATTATTAGTAGAGTTGTTTGTTGGTTCTCTCCTGTGCTTCGAGGGTTTTCCGGGTTCTCCGGTTTTCCGGGTTCTCCGGTTTTCCGGGTTCTCCGGTTTTCCGGGTTGTCCGGTTTTCCGGGTTCTCCGGTTTTCCTCCCTCCCCAAAAGTCAACTCCTAAATTCCAATTCGATCACAGAATGAGGGCCACAGGTTTGTTAGCCACTGGCTATTAAGTGCTACCCTAGTGAAAAAAGGACGGGTTTTTTTATATTATAATAAAAAATTGCTCCTGCTGAAGAATATTTTTTAAATAAAATCCTAACAGCATAATTTTTCTCACTATGGCACTTTTATTGCTTTTATAGAGTCTTTGCACCATCTAATGATGGCAGCCATGACAGGAGGCATAACATTAGTCTTTTCCCCTGGGAAACCTCAAATTAGACCAGATTCAATTGTTTCTGCCTCCTGTCATGGCTGCCATCACATGATAATGCAAAGCCTAATCTATACCAAGAACATGTGTGCCTAAGAAACTTACTTTATTAGATGTAGGGATGAATGTCGCAGAGTATTTACAGTCACTGATTCCAAATTCTTTGCATGTATCGTGTACAAAATATTCACAAACTAAGGAAGAAGAAACACTGTACATCAATAATATTATTTTATAACTCAATAGGCACACGGTCTAAAATGGTATGTTGAACCTTTTGATCATTCTCTTAGTAATCTATCTTGATCTTGGGCCTAGTAAARTTTTCAATCTAATATTAGACCATGTGTCATTCTATTGAGTATCTTCTTTTTCTTTAAGACACTTGAATATGGATACATAAAAAAAAATGAATCTTATTTTCAAGGGAATGACACATGTTCTGAAATGGGAGAACATTAGGCCCAAGGTAATATGGTCTATATTATATGGCCCTATCTAAGCATCCCCTTGTGTGACTACAGGTTTCCTTAAGGCCAGTTTAGACGTTACAATTTTCGCCTACAACTATCGTGTACAACATGCTCACACCATCCTACAACTCGAGTCGTAGCGTGTAAATCAAACCTACGACTCGCCCACAACAGACGCGAGGGTGTTGTATACAATAGTTGTAGGCGAAAACTGTGCCTACTAATCCCACCTTTATAGGAAGCAGTAATCAAGGCTTACCTTGGCACCTAAATGATTCACAATCTTCAAGTCTCTTTCTACAAACATTGCAGAATTTTCTTCTATAAAATGATTTACCTCCCCAAGTGTGTGCTACAGGGTTCTGTAAAAACAAAAATAAAATCAATTATATGAACTTTCATTGGTACAGTATACTATGCGTTTAGAAATAATTGCGGGAACTCAACCATTTTAATGTAATCATAAAATACCACATATTTTCATCTATATTTAGTTAATATATAATTGTTATAAAAAAACATTATAAAACACTTCACACATCCTTTTTACTTCAAAAAATATTTTTGATGTCATTACGTCATTACTTAATAATTTTGATAACATTAAGTACAAACATCCTTCCTATAAACAAATGAAAAACAAAACCCTTCAAATAATTTTTAAAAATATTAAACACTCAATAATCTCATAACCCAAACTTACTTTAACTAAAGTCGTTGCTATGGAAACACATGCTGTTATGACGTTGGTGAGACACCGTTCATGGGTTACAAAATTACAAACTGTAAAGAAATTAATAACAAGAGAATGATACAAAATTAAAAACTCAAGTTACAAACTGTCACTAAAATTAGAAGGAAAATGCAAATCATTTTTTAGGCAAATATGACAGTTTCTTTTTAAAATTTGAGTACTAAATGTTAGTATGAAAGAGTCAGTTTTTAGGTCTCTTGTCTAACTAGTAAATACAAAAAGATAAATCATATGTACACCTACTTGCAAGAACATTGTCATACGATATTAGAACATTAGTAATTTAGTGAGAAAGGAATACATTAAAAGACAAAAGAAAAAGTTCAGCTTCAGTGATCTTCTTTTGTTTTTTAATRTAATTCCTATCCCACTAAATCACTAATGTTCTATATTCGTATGTCAACGTTCTTGCAAGTAGGTGTATGTTAAGTAGAACTTTATATATTTTGAATGAAATTGAATAATTCATTAAAAAAACATACATAATACCTTTTAGTTCAAGTATTTAACTGACTTGAGTTTTTACCACATCACATATATATTATATTATACAGAAAATGTAAGGAGTTTAAAATGTATGAATGACAGTCTTCATAAATTTCACTTTGCTGATTAATTCAAGCAACAGATTAATGAAAAGGAAAATTAATTATTAAATAAAACAATATTATTCACTGGTGCATAGTAATCATTGAAGCTATAAGGAGGATGATAAAAATAATGCAGGATCTAGACTCAAAGTAGAAATATGAGTCCATAAATTCCTTATAATACTAAATAAACATAATTGAATTAAGGCCGCCAATAAATTATTACAAACAGCCAATATGAATATAAGATTATGTTTTTAAATTTGTAACAGGAAAAAGCTGAAAATATAGCTGAAGCATTGTAGTGAGTCACGTATTACAAAGAAATATTTACAATGATTTTGTTGTATTTTTTGAATTTTCCAAGAGGGCTTTAATTCAATTAAAATCAAAAAGATAACATCAAACTATCACTAATAATTGATAGACACATCTATTTAATCCATTTATGGATAACAATGTCCAATATGGGTCAAGGTAGAAATAGGAAACACTAAAATATATTGAGCACAAGTCTGCTGATACAGTCTTGTGCAATGGGGATTAAATATGGGTTTTTAATTTACTTGCAGAGGGGAAAATAATTTAAAAGCTCTCTGTGTATAGGCTACATATTATCTTCTTAGGGGACATTTCAACACTGGTTTACATATTAAAAATTTAAGAAAATTACTAGTAATATAGCAGATTATTAAATTCTTTTCATTGATAAATTTGGTTGCAAATAAAAAGAAGAAATAATTGCTTTAAAATTTGAAAGAAAAAATATTATTTAATGGTATTTCATAAAGTTTAGTTTGATCAAAACGCGTTGAAACGAGAATATAAACTTAGTTGATTTGACAAATAAATGAACACTGACTAAAATAGCGCAATCATTATTCTGAGTTCTACACTTCCTCGTACCTAAATAAACCACGTTAAACTTTATTCTATTTGAATATGACTTTATTTATCGTTTCCAAGAAAAATATTTCAGTTATGAGTTAAGTTTACTGTAAGGAATCTTTAGCAACGACGCGACTAGGGAATATTTTTTCTCCTCAGAACTGTGCTTCAAGGCTGTTTCCTCATTCCATATACACAAAGTTAATCAAACAACAGTCCTTCTAAACCGAGGATTAGAGAAATATTTCCGAATTGCTGGTTATCTAAAGACAAATTGAAGTCTTTTATGAGTCGTGATCTGATATTGCTAAGCTAATCAAACATCTCCTCGACTTTATCAAGTGTTTTCTCGGCGAAGAACTTCGTGAAGAAAGCCTTATAAAACTCCCCTGTAAGCTTACCTTCACAAGTATATCCTTGGTTAGTGAATCCCCAAAGCATTTCAGTACAGTGATGGCAGTAAGTCGGCCTTGTGAATGTTTTTTTAGTGAAGCGATGTCCACTTTGACCGTGAGCTTGGAAGGCTTCTTCCAGCATCGGTGAAGACATACGCCGGTAAGATAGTTCAGTTCTTGTACTTCTACGATCCGTCATAGTGGAAAGAGACCTTCAAACCGAATGGTAATAATTTTAGCGTTACATATTTAGCGATGCAGTCAGTTTTTTTAATAGTAAACATTAGTTTTGGCTCGACATACGGAACGACTGCTGATCAACTCATGCAGCAAACCAAGAGTCATTTTAGAACTATGGGGGAGGGGAGGGTAAGGCTGTCTACAATATATTGTCTTCTTTTTTTAATTTTCAGTCCCGTCTCAATACCTCACGAGTCAAAAGCTTAGCATTAAATAATGATAAAGATAATTCAAGCTAACGAGAACCTGTTGGTTTTTAAGGAGGCGTGGGTGAAAGATTTTGCTTTTCTTGGAAACGTGGGGGAGGGTCGTTACTGGTGTTGGTTTATACTGACCCTCCCTATCCCTTCGTTGCAACCATCCCAGCTAAAGTTTCCTAGATTTCCTGCTCAACCCAAAAGTTCAATTTAACAGCTGTATCGTCATACTGCATCTACACTCCCCTCCCTCCCCCCATTAACGACTGTAAAGTCAATGATTCGATTAAAACTGTCAAATTTTCACAGGGTGTAACAACTTACCAGATGTCACGTTGAGTCAATTAGCTTTCTCGTTCCTGTTTTCTTTTTTCACTCCAAAATTAACTCAGACGAAATTATGAAATTCCCTTCAAAAGTTCAGTGTTGAAATAACTCAAACTGCCTGCTTCCAAAACTGTAAACCATTGTGATTGGATGGAATGGATTTTCGTGCTTTAGGATAAACTGGCTCAAAGAGAACGTACAGCTATTGTACGTCCTTCATTCTTATTACGACGAATGAATTAATGATAGCACTGCATGATTAATGATTAATCGCTTTTCATTCGACGTGCAATATCTGTTTTTCACTTTATAGTCTGAAAGAGGACAGCTGGCACGCAAAAGCACTTAGGCGAAGACAATGGTATTACGTCAAACCTTAAAAGGGCTTCCGTGATGATTATGGATGGCTGGTTGGTAGTATTTAATACGGGAAGAGCAAAGAGTACACCCGCTGTCACGAACATAAACAGGAACAAGACGGCTTGTGGTGAATAGTGTGGGCGTAGACACTAGCTCCACCGTCTAACTGATAATGCCATTTTAAATTCCAAATTTTCTAGAGGGCAGTTAAGAACAGTTTCTCAGTTTCAACAATCCAATCATGATTGTCGATTCTAGCTCCAGTTTATAGAGTTCATTCCCCTCAGACCATAAAAAAGTTTCTAGTAGTTAGCGTATACCGTAAAAGTCAATTAAACACCGAACGAAAACGATGGAAATAAGATCTACTAACCTTTATTATAGTCTACTAACTATTTACACGGTTGAGGAAAATCACTCGACTAATCTTTGGCGTTGAATAAAAGAGCGCAAAATTTAGCATAATTAATGGATTGAAAAGAATTTGATTCGCTCCTAATGGTTTTCACAAGAATCTCACTTTTATATATATCAAAATTACTATAATTCGAACAAAAAGAAGGAACACCACAGGTTTTCTAGCCTACTGAAGCCAGCAGGCAATTGGTTTTTTTTACCCATATAATAGTTTCTTATTTCATTGGAGAAGCATGGTGGAGTAAGAGGGACAGAGCGGAGAATATGAGAGAGGAGGGGGTGGGGAATTCCATGACCTTCTTGTCACACTTTCTAAGAAGCTCAGGTATCGTGGGTTTCTCTCCTCGCCACCGAAGGGCCGGGGAAGGGATCACGCCCCCCTCCCCCCACCCCCCTCCTCCACACACACTTTTTCCCTTCTCCCCTACTAGTCTCTTATATTTTCCAATTTTCCAATCTTAGCCCTCCCCCCCCCCCCCCCCCCCCCCCCACTTTTTCCAATACTA